CTATCATACAATACTGCTTCAAATAATATTTGCACCTAAATTAAAATAGCCAATGATATCAAAGTTATCATTTTATTGACATAAATCATGTCACACGGTAGCTTTTGTCAAACAATCCCGGGATCGGCTTCAAAATCCCGGGCTTACATTTTCCAGCAGTGGTAATCACTAGTGTCGATGTGGACGATGGTGGCCGCTGGCGATATTATCCATTTTGCTACTTATTTGCGGCGTGTTGATTGGCTGCGGCCGTCTCATGATTATGAGGTTCGGTATGGTAACTATCAGAGTATGTTACGGGATTGGCGGACTAGCTTATGCTAACCTAGTACATTCATTGAAAATAATAATCGATTTGAGTGTACAATTTGTATTTCAAAGTCCATTTTTTATATTATTTCTATAGATTTTCGGTCAAAAAGTTAGGTTATTAAACTGTCAAACACCAAGCGGTCACCGGTGACCGCAACCTATTGTTCTATAATTGTGTCTACAAAACCGGTACTCGACGAGTTAATTACTGGATTTTATTACCAGAATTATAAATGTAGTTGTTTTGCATGTAACTGCAGTACGGTACAGGTATCAATCCCATATTACCTCTATGTTATTTTTATTTCATAGAAACCCCATCGTATTTACGAAGTAACAATAGTAATAGTCTTAAAACAGTCTATTTAACGACCATTCCCTAAGTCACTAGTAATGTTACCTTCTTACCCCAAAAACATGGCAGATCGATTGATGATCGCAGAATAATTAATTTCAGGTGTCAGTTGCTGCCAATCTTCCTGATATCGTTGCTTTATGGCCTCTCGTGACACCCTCAGGCACAAAGAAGGTAGCATTCTCGTACATTTACCCCAAAAAAGTCCGGAATCTTAATGACAGTGTCACATCACTAAATTGTAACGTTCTTTCACAGATCAACAACAAGGATTGGTGCAAGAAGGGACGGAAAGGTGGACATTGCAATATTAAGTGCGAAGGTATAACTTATCTAGTTTTTTTCGTTCATTGCGTTTTAAATGCACGTTGGTTAGGTTAATTACATACAAAGCGATGACGCGATGTCATTAGTGAATTTTGAAAATAGGAAAACTTTGGCCTTTTTTTTAAGGGGGGTAAATCATAGAATGACTGCTCCCGCCTGGATGAGGCGGAAGGGAATGTCAGACTCTTACTGACTAAAAACCACCCCGTTCCTTCTCCTGCACGTCGAGCCGGAGCCCCGGTTACCCGTTATTTGGCCTAGGAATTAAATACGAGAATACCTCATGGTCAATAACAGTGTTTAAAATAAAGCTGACGACACAATGAGTTTTGTAGCAAAATACACTAAACAGAGAAGAACATAAGAATTTTAAAAACATTATGATCATTTACAAATTCAGCCCTTATAGACACTGAGCTCAAACTGCAAATTCTTACACCCAGCCACCAGCAAGCTACAGTGTAGTCTCAATTATTATATTTTTCAATTCTAGATCTCCTGAACGAGGACTTGGCGGATGACGTGCGATGTGCGAAGCGTATCTACGACCGTGTGGGATTCAAAGCCTGGCCGACCTCATTCTCTTATTGCAAGGAGAACAGTCTGCCTGACTTGTCTAGATGTTAAGTTTAAGACGAAGGGTGAAAGACAAGTGCCGCTTGATATCCATAATAACTCCATGCTATGATGGTAATACTATGCGAGGATTCGGAACAATTAGGTTTGACCTTATGGCACACTAGTGCCATCTCGAATCAAAAACCCTTATATGAAGAGTATAGTATACCTAATTCTTAAATTAAAGTTTGCTAAAAAAATGATATCGGTCATATCTGCATAATAGAATCTTAGAGAACACACAATAATAACTTTGATGAAATAGATCTATTCAGTTGTACTAAACCTAAATTTAAAGAACACATCATTAAATGTATTAATAAATGCAATCAGGACACCAACTCCGTATCTTAAATCATTATTCCGAAATCTTAGTCTTTGTAACTAACTAACCGATTAAGTAAGTCATTGTTTGTTCTTGATCTTATTTTGTTAAGTTAATTAAGTCCGTTCGAATGTTTACAAAATCTAGGAAATAAGGTATACCTATTATTAGCCTTAATCTCTGTAATTCACGCAAACTATTGTAAATGTAACGCTGTTGGTTTTCTAAACAAACAAAATAAAGTAATAATTTAGAACTGCATTGATTTGAAACATAAAATAAATAGTGAAAAGTGGGTGTTACATGGTATTAAGTGATGTAATGTGCACCTCTGCGTACCCCTTCGGGGGTAATAGGCATGATGTTTTGTTATGTTGATTTGAAACTCTTGGCACATGTTTTATTACCCCAATGGTCTTTTTACCCGCGTGTTCGATGGTTAGTATTTTACTTAGATTAGTATTTTTTATAATTGGTTTTTAAAGGGAGTTTGGGAGTTTGCAGGTCGACAATGATAAACGTTAATTTGAATGTGAAACGATTTATATATTAGTATTTTATTTAACATAATTATTATGGCCTAAAACTAATTATAAGATATTTTTATTAAAGCGTTAGAAATATGAAAGAAATAAGACATTATTTAACTCTATGCGTAGTACATAGATTAGTACATAGATGTTCAGTTAAAAAGGGCAATTTATATGACAATCCTTTTCTTAAATGTTTTTCTTCGCTTTAATGAGACAAATTAGTTTAATGTAGACCGAAAGAGTTATATCTATAATTTTTATATCAAAACATTTTATTTGAAAAAATAAATTCATAAAATTTTGTTTGTATTTTTTTACCATATACCCTAACTTTTGTCAGCAATATCAATAGGGAAAATAAAATAATCCTACTATACAGTATCTAACGTCGTGGTGATGTCGCAGAGAACCTAACGGGTAACCGGGGCCCCGGCTCGACGTGCAGGAGTAGGAACGGGGTTGGTTTTTAGTCAGTAAGAGTTTTTAGTCTGACACTCCCTTCCACCTCACCCAGGCGGGAGCAGCCATTCGATGATTTTCCCCCCTTAAAAAAAAAATGTCGTAGTGGCCCGGAGGTTTAAGACGCCCGTTTCTCATGCATGAGAAACGGGCGAGTTCAAAACCTACCAACGCCAAGTACCAATGTGACTTTTTCCGAGTTATATGTACTTACTTTCTAAGATTATTTAGACACCACTGATAAACGGTGAAGAAAAACATCGTGAGGAAATCTGGGCTTATAATTTCTAATTATAAGTTTGTAATCGCCCGCATTGAACAAGCGTAGTGATTGATGCTCAAACCGTCTCCGTGTGAGAAGAGGCGTTGCTCAGCCAGTGGGCATTTATAAGCTGTTGATGATGATGGTGATAGTATCTACACTATAAAGAAATAAAACATATCGAGGGGTAACAGACTATTTGGTTTAAGCGACATTTTGGGCGATTTTGAGTTATTACATATATTCGACGGAGAAAGATTCGCTGATTCCGAATAATATATATATATAACTCAAAATCGCCCAAAATGTCGCTTAAACCAAATAGTCCGTTACCCCTCGATATAATAAACCGTATGCAGCGATAAACCCATGTTTTGAAAATCAACAACTGCTACAAGGCAGCAGAATAAACTATACTATTCTATCAAGTATCTTCTTTACATTTTCAACTTTATCTCTTCGTATGAAGATTCAATATCTATTGTAGACATTTTACACAGTGATGTGCAGTTGTCTTCCTCAGTCATATATCGGTACGATGGATTCCCGAAGGATTTTTAATTTAATAACGTTACAAACGTTTGAGTGATATGAAATATTGATGGATTACGGAGTTTACTGGAACCGGGACGGTTTCGAGGTTTTTTTGGGATAAAAATGGGTTTTAATGGGGTTTTGATTGGGTTGGCTTGTTGTATTCGTATTCGTGGGTTTTTTTAATTATTCGCTGTGTGTATTTGGTCTTCGTTTGTGAGTATTCGGTCCTATACGGCACGAATATTTGTATGATTTACTGGCAAATTGTATAGAGTTTGGACCCGGGTATATCTCAAAACTGCAACATCTACGATAGTCCTACAATGGAGTATGAGATGACCTCTAGGACTTTAGATAAAAAGGTTTACCACAATCTTAGTTAGCGGGGTCAAGTTCGCTGTTTTGGAGTTTCTAGTTTATCAGAGAACGTTGTTGGGGAAAATCATCGAATGACTTTCTTACTGACTAAAAACCACCCCGTTCCTTCCGCTGCGCTTCGAGCCGGAGCTCCGGTAACCCGTTAGGTTCTAGGCGACGAAAAAAAATATACACATTAGGATTATATTCAGAGGATGTTGTAAAACATACATATTTAAGGGATGAGAGCCAGTTTTATGATTACCTTTTATGAGTGACTAATATATTCCACAATCCACTGTGACGTCATAACACGGCATGTGCATTGTATCGTTTAAAAATATATTCTATTCAAACATGTTCAACATTTTACCCTTTTAATAATTGCCACGTCGAACTTTGTAACATCAGTAACGCCTAACAGAAAGTTCGTTCAAATAACTCTCGAGTGTAATGTTGCTATAAGTATTGCTGCAGGCGTTTTGTTAAACTCATACAAAACTTTTACACTCAGTTTAGCAATACAGAGCTTCACATGAAGAGGGCATTTCATACGAATTTATTAATGTACAAGTTGAATGTTTTATAATTTTCTTTTGGCTCATCTAATTGGTCAAGCAAGATGTCATGACTGCCTCGTTGTTCGAGTGGTCGCAAGTGCGACTGCCGGGCGAAGGTTCTCGGGTCGATTCCCGGGTCGGGCAAAGTATTACTGGGTTCTAAAGAAATAAAAAATTGACAGTAGTAGCACAGAGTCTGGAATTGTGTCCGGTATATAGCAATAGGCTCACCCCAAATACATGGGACTCATAACGTAAATAGTGAAAAGTGGGTGTTACATTGTACGGTGGCGTTAATATGTTTTATGGTAGAGGCGCACCTCTGCCTCCCCCTTCAGGAATAAAAGGCGTGATGTTATGTTATCATGTCATGACTTGTATGAGTGACATAGCAGATACCTAAAACAAAGGGTACTTCTCAAGTTGGCTTGATACCGAGTACCTACATTAAATTTGGTACATTTTACTCTCATTTAGTGCAATACCATAAAGCATGAAGCCTGGGATTTCCTCACAATTAAATTGATATCAAAATGAACAAATCGACATGTTTGTAAGTTCATTTTCATCGGAGTACGCTCTCGAAGATTAGCTAAAGCCGGTCAGATGCTGAGAGCTAGCCTCCCAAATTTCCGGCTACCTGGAAAGGAAGCCAGTAGCCGTGTGAGGCTACTTGTATGAAGTTACGTAAAGTTACCTAATAGTAAGTATTTTCGGTAATCTATATCAATACATAGTATAAAACAAAGTCGCTTTCGCTGTATGTCCGTATGTATGCTTAGATCTTTAAAACTATGCAACGGATTTTGATGCGGTTTTTTTTAATAGATAGAGTGATTCTTAAGGAAGGTTTGTATGTATAATACATGCATATTGCACCCGTGCGAAGCCGGGGCGGGTCGCTAGTTTATATATAAAATCAAAAATCAAAATTAGTAGTGATTTTTTTTTGAAGGGGGGAAAATTATCGAATGACTTCTCCCGCCTGGGTGAGGCGGAAGGGAGTGTCAGACTCTTACTGACTAAAAACCACCCCGTTCCTTCTTCTACACTTCTTTGGTTCTCCGCGACTCCGAATCAGTACATAGTGACTAAGGTGATATTTATTTAAGTTCAACAATGAACCAACCAATCAGTACTTGCCAAATGAATATAACATGTTTTGTACACACGTATTGTGCATTTTTATTACTTTATAGTGATAAAATCTCTTAAAAATAGGTTAGTCGATGTTTGACTAAACAAAGTATAATCGACTGATTATACTCTAGCTCGATTAATCATAGCAACACTGTTAACATCGTAGTCATCATCGTTGTTCGGTAGACCGTCGACGATCTTATGTCGCTCGATATTAACGATGAAACATCAATGAACTCGCCGTTGTTTACATCTGTGATAGGGTTGTTAATGAATCGCAAAGTTAAGTGCCTAGCACGAAAACTATTGAGAAAATATTCGTATCGACATCGAAAGCATTTTCTATGGGTTTGTACAGCGCCCCTACCGTGCGCAAAGAAACGAATGATTTTGATGACTATTGTATATTAGTAGTAGTAGTAGTAGTAGTTTAGGTGTGGGAGAGCCATGTTGCGGCACGAATGGGCCGGCTCGACCGAAGGAATACCACGGCCTCACAGAAGACCGACGTGAAACAACGCTTGCGTTGTGTTTCCTTGTGTGAGTGAGGTTTTCGGAGGCCCAATTCACCCTCCCCCTTTCCCCAATCCTTGAATCCCAACAATCCTCAAATTCCTAATCCCAAAAGGCCGGTAGCGCACTTGTAACGCCTCTGGAGCTCTAGGTGTTCATAGGCAACGCTGATTGCTTACCATCAGGTGATGCGTCTGTTCGTTTACCGGCTTATGCCATAAAAAAATAATCGTATCGTGTTGCTATCCAAACTTAGAACATTTTGACACAAATTGGAAGCACAAACGATCTTTTGATGTACGGCAACATAAGTTTTGAAGCCTGACTATCGAAAACTATCGAAACATTTGTCACTTACAATTTGCCGGTGAGAAAGTTTTCGAAACATTTTAAAATTAGGATTTTACGACGATTTTAAAATAAAATGAACTAAAACAAATAATGTATGAAATTATTCATCTGAGCGCCGAACGCGGTATCGTTTCGATTACTTTAAACTTAAACCGAATTCGGACTAAGGCCTTAGGAAAGACAAGAAACGATTTGCACATCAATGTTGTTCTACAATATGTGATCAATAAAACAAAACTATCGTAAAACCATGCAAAGCTACTTCCATTGAACATTACGCACTCGTGTCATCATAAAATCACACCTATCTTTAACTGTATAAAGTAGATATTTATTTAAACACCTGCTTTTCCACATTCACAATGAAACGATATCTCTTATCCATTCAAAGAGCCAGTCTGTCGCTTCACTGGAAATACTTGTATTTAAACAAATACGAACTTTATCTTCATTACAAATAGATGTTATTTTATAATGACACGAGTGCCATAAGTTAAATGTATGCAGATTAGCTTTGTCAGTTC